ACTCCACTAGGATTCTGAATGGAAGTCGAACCCATGGGCGCACCCCAAAGACTGCAAAGGTTGACGCCAAAGACTTTATCCTTTTGTTTTTTACGGGTCCGTCGTGGATATCTGCTCTCACCAACTAAGTCTTCCACCCTTCCGAAGTCGCATAATTTGGATCAGACTCGCCTGGTAGGATAAAAGCCTTGGTTCTTGGGTAGCACTTGGGGCTGAATATGCATTCAATAAGACATTACGATCTTAAAGGAAAGTTAAATACGGGGAGCAATCCACAAACCAGATCACCACACACTTCAAACTTTAACCTTCATTTTATTTATAGACTTGCTTTTTTATCAGTTCTTATGTACAAAACTTAAGGATTTGAAATAATGTGCTTGACCTTGGCACTGAAATGGATTAATAGTAGCGCATAAGAAAAACCCAGATTTAACCCGGGGTAAGCTGGAAGATGGGCACCATCAGAAATTCATCTTGCCAAGATGGCGTGATGGCTTCCGTCGTAAGAAAAACTGCTGGGGGTGTTTATTTATGTCATCTCAATCGTTATGAATAAAGAATCAAATCTTACCTGTGCCATTAGGAAAATCGTAGGTTTTACTGTTCGAGCGCAGTCTCTTTCCTTTCGGATTTGCTGTGATGTACGAATGCGTAATTGGTCTAAACAACGAGTTGCAGAGGCCAGCCCCTTTACAAGTGGAAGCATTTATCTTCATAGACGAGCCTGGTACCAGTTACCCATCCCACAAGGATAGAACACATGGCGTGTAGGGTGACATTCACATCAGGGTTCCCTTTTCGGATTACAGGATCGTGTTAAGCTACTACAGCGCCACTTGACACGGGCCATCCCCGCTTCCGTCCGTTTGAGTTCGAAAAGGAACTAGTCAGTAGCTCTATGGGAAGGGAACAGAGAGAGCATCGACAAACTGTCAACCAAGAAATAGAAAATTGGGAAAGAAACTAACCAAAAAGAAAGAGAAATTCTCTAGAATCGTCGTACTAACCATATTTCGAAACTTGAAGGTCTAGAAAGGTATAAAGCAGAGGAAAAAAGTGAGAAAATTCAGAGGCATGGAATTGCTCCCACAAAGTTGTTATTACTTCCTGTATAGCAGCTGGTTTTCCAGCAACAACAATCAACATGTTGTCGTTATGACGGGACGTTTACGACGACACAGCTACATCAGGCGAACGTTGGGCTAGGAAATTATGGATGAGCAGCAAAAGGACGCAATTTCCTTCTGAGGCCAACAATTTCGAAAAAAATTATTTTAGTTTTTGTCATATGTACATTTGACAATGTCTGCATTAGCAAAAACGAATCGAATAGGACCTAAAGAAGACTTATGAACACCGTCCCCAACAAGAGCTCCGCCCAACGTCAGCCTTAACAAACAACAACGTACTGGTTCTGGGTACTGTTCAAAAAAAGCTGCGTGATGGTTAAAATGTTTGGGAAGATGATAAATGGCAAACAACCGGAAAACAGATGAATAAATACAGTGACAACCAAAGCCCATGTGAGACCACTTCGTTCAACTGTAGGGATGGGAGGAGGATTACTCTATCGACATGCCTAAAAAGGCCAAGCTTTCAGGATCCGATCGATAAATAGAAGAAAAAAGCGAAGACGAAAGAAAGAGGGGATGGGAAGAAGAAGTAAAGAAAAAATAAGGGAAGGGAAAATGATCAAAAAGTCGGAAAAAGGGAGCAGTAAAGTAAGCCATTAGGCAGAGACCGACAGGTACGAAGGCAAGAAGTTAGACAGACCAGACAGACAGACAGACAGACAGACAGACAGACAGACAAACAGATCGCCCATGACTTGTCTACTTTTCTTTTTTTTTCCTCCTACCGTTCTTTTTACTTATTTACAATCGGCAGACAGACGAACAGACAGACAGACAATTAAGTAGAAAGAGAGGATGAAAAAATGAAAAGCACACATGTCATGGGCGGAATTTCATAAAGCCTTGAGAAAAATTCGGGTTTCGATTTTCCACTCATTAGAATTCCTCGTGCTATGTAGTTCCTGTCGTTCGGACTATTGGGCCCATCAATTTACCTTCCTCAAATCGCTGCTCCAACACTTTGTGTTGTTGAAATAGTCACAACATTTCGAACAATATAAATAAAGACAACAAGATTATGAGAAGAGCGAAACTGAAGATTTTGCCTCGGAAACATCTTGAGACAGATTAATTCCACCATTGAAACGCCTTCATATTATTTGGAGGAAGTGAGTTCGAACTGATTGAGGCTTGGCGAAATTTCTCAAAAACGCTATGAGAAAATATCGAACAGGCCACGCCTCCCTCGCTAGCATAAAGGCAGAATACTGGGCACGGTGGTTTTGCGAAGGAGATTTCGAGTCGATCGTTGACCGGATTCTTTAACCCAACACATATAATCTACACATATAGCGATCGCAGGAGAAATCGCTGTGAAAAAACCGGTTGGCGCCGATGTCGCTCATGCGATTAACCGGGGATTACTGATAATGTGGATAAATATCAAGCATAACAACAAGGTACTGTATCAACCGATAGAATACAAATGTTCTATCAAACAGATCAATAATGCGCCATGCACTTAGTCTGCTTTCTGGATCGACGAAGTGCTTGTAAGGAAATAAGATCGCGGTAAGGTAGAAGATTGGTAGAAAGAGCCGGTGTAGTCTGCTGTTACTTTTACCATAAACAGCCTTACTCCCATTTCGCCTGTGCGGGCACTCAAAGAAACGAGAGCCACGCTGTTACCTTTCGTCTCTTTTTGTAAACTCGAATGGGCAGCTCGAAAGTCAACATTGCGGACAATGCGATTACTGAGAAGCTCTTCCTTTGCAATAAAGAATCTCCTAGATCTCACCTTCAGAGTGTGAATTTCCCAGGACACTATGCTAGACAACTGCAATTTTTGTGAATATTGCCGTCCTGGTGAATCAATAAGAACTCTTCCTTGAATTCCATTCCAGCTACCCCATTAGATAGCCATCCGAATAGCCGTTATGACCATCAGCCGGAGTGGAATGTGCCACTCCAGCCTCATAACAGACAAAGAAAACCTATTTAAAAGAGCCGAAGAAGGCAATAGAGGGACGCTCATTTCATTGTGGCTCATGAATTCACGGGCGAGTAGAGAGAAGAATTCCCTTATTCATAATTCTATTCGCTTTCCAACCCTAAAAAAGAGAGGTATCTTCCCGCCCTTCTCCCCTATTGTGCCGATCTGAATCGTTTTGTCCCTTCGTACTGGACTTTGCCGATTTGAACCTATTCGAGGCTCATTACTCTATCCGTTTGGAGGCTAAAGGCATTTTCTGTCGGTAACGGGTGAGCTTTCCTGACGATTGACGGCTTCACTTCCTTTATATGGTGGAAAACAGCCTCCAAGTAGCGCTTCATCCGAAAGTCACTTCACAGTAACGTATACTCCAATTGACTTCAAAAAATGCTATAACTCTCTGAAACTCCAGAATTCTCGAAAGTTTCAAAAAGAGAGAATCTAGAGGGTCTCCGAATAAACTTATGAATTTAAAGAGTCGTAGTATGGGCACGTTAAGTTGAAGAGGGATGGAATTGAATGGATTCGAGGGTGTCGTCAAAGAAAATGAGGTTAGCGACGAGCGTGTAAGTTTATCGACATAGCCAAATATTGGTCGATACCACTCAGCAGGCGAGAACTACCAACTCAATAGGGCCAACCGGCCGAGGAATGGAAATGAGGGACGGTGAGGATAAACGGATGTACATTTATCGGCAAACATTACAGCTTTTCGATATCGGAACCATTTCTTGCTTGGCCTACTTTTATTAGTCCGCCTACAAGAACCGACGTCATTCGCAATTCTCAGGTCTTATTGGTACCTATTCACGTACCCGAAAAGTATGAAAGGTCCTTGATCCCGTGCTAGGACACCTAATGTGGTAGCGGGACCACTTGGAACTGCCCATTTACAGCTTCGAAACCTATTCGAAGCAGGCATTGCCACGAAGCTCGACCTGAAACGAAGGCGGAGGTTGGCCACTGCAGGAGACAGTTTTGTCCTTATCATCTCTCTCATACCTATGAACTGCACCTATATCAGATAACCTGAAGTAGAAGGTCACCATAGCTTCTGAAGAGAAGGCTCAGAAGGCTCATCTAAGAGCTCTATTTCCAAGAAAACCGAAGTGGCGTCTGAGGTACAAGTCTCATAAGACTCAGCGGGAAGCTACTTGTACCTATCTGACCATTACTGTTGGGGAGAAGATCAATCACTATGTGGTTTTTGAAATCGGCGCAATAGACAAACTATTATTATAGACAACCTCTGTTTATAGATACTTATTTATGCAATCGTTGAAAAAAACAAAACAAACAAAATGAAAGTTACAAAAAATGAGCACAAAATAATCTAAGTCAATGGCGAGAAAGCATCAGCAGCACACTAACCTAATATGAAAAACAATTTTGATATCAAACATGAAGATATGAAAACATGATCTATATGAGATACCTCAACGATAAATAAGTAATGAATCCTTTCAAGTAGAAACATGGATTCGATCTCTCCTCTGATATAACTTCTATAAGACACTTTAATCACATTCTTTGGCAAGAACTATAGCACTTTAACTGTTTAATGAGCAACTGGACAACAAGTATTTATGTACAATATTAAATGTTTTGACCAATTAAATCTTATAAATATTTTGCTAAAATTATACTTATATACACGAACTCATGTTCAATATCACAGGAAGCAGTACTAGTAACTTGGAAAGTCCATGACTGACATGGTGCAGTAAATACAGAAGAGAACTCACATTGGCACAAAAATCTGATATAATCTGACCCACTGCTAGTAGAAAATAGAAAATTTATAGAGCACAAACGGGCTACTCATTGCGAGGATGTGGCTGGGTCCGTCGAACAATTTCCCGGTTAAGCAGAGTTCTCATGCGCTCATACCTTTAGCAAAAATCAAAAATTATTTTTTTGTATATTTTTTCCTTTTTCCTAAAATGTTGGAAACCAGTAAACATCCAAAGAACTTGATCAGCGCAGTATTAAGAGTTCAAGCATCACAATTATCCACTACCGATCGATATTCACAGAAATCACCGATCATCACTCACTAACTAGCTTGAACTTATATAATCACTGGGAACCCTGGACTACAAAGATAGGTTGAATACTTCGAAAACATTTTTAAGGGATGAGGAGAAGATCTTCGGGAAAATGTACCTTCGGACTGTGTCGATAACTTCCTGTTTGTACAATTTCAGCATCATTTCTTCATAGTGTTCCAACTGCATTGTATTGAACAAATCCCACTAAATATTACACTCAATAGCAGAGTAAAAATTACCATATTCATTCTTGAAAACGTCGCAGTTTCCTTGAATGAATAACTAACCAACGAAATTTAAAGGGATTAAGTTCTCACCTCAAGTAAATGATCGAGTGACGTATCGGCCTGCGAATACATCAAAAGCCACTCAGGGACCTCTGAAAATCAGGTATGATAACAATTCTATAGGTAGCTCAGATTATTTCAATTTATTTCTAAGTAAAAGGCTACTTGAATGTACGACTCCTTGCACTACTGTGATAAAAATCATTGTAAACTTTCAAGCTAAAGAATCTATTCGTGCTGTTCCAAATGGAACGTACGCTGAGAAAAATGAATAAATCAGATATTCATGCTATAATGCGCACCCCGTAAACTATTCAGCTGCGTATTGTTTCAAAGGACACGCTATGTTAGATTCTATACAGAAGAAGTTGCGGATTCATTAGAAGGAATTTTAAACACCATTAAACCTTGGATTAAATGCAAATTGCGCCATCCCAATCGACAAATGCATTATGAGCCGTTTGACATATTGAAAATATGACATTATCCATGCCTGATCACAGCTTCATTCAAAATTTCGTAATATAAAACCATAGATTCCATTTTCATCCTCTTTCCGCCTATCATCGTTCGGAAGCACTACCTTGCTTCACAATTCTTGCACGGTTATGGGCTCTACGAGGGCTGCCTTTTATATTTCGGATTTGGAAACACTAGTGTATCAATCTAGCAACTGACACCACTATCGTGAAGTTTGACTATTTTAAGGTTCCGTTGCGAAATTTGAGAGCGATTTGTGTTGTCACACTAAGTTATAAGATTTCGATTAGGCCAAGTCATGGGATTGAGCCGTGAGCATTTTCGCGCGATTATTTTCTACAACTTTCAACGTGGACTAACTCAACAGAAATGCATGGATGAACTTAGTTCAATTTTTGGTGATGGAGCTCCATCCAGAACCAGTCTTTATCGATGGTCCAGTGAGTTCACCCGAGGTCGTAGTTCAGTCGAAGACGAATTTCGTGAGGTCGTCCAAAATCAGTTGTCGTTCCGGAAACGGTTGATGCTGTGCACAAACTAATACTGCAAGACCGTCATGTGACCTAT